TTGTTAGAGCTGTGCTACAGGTTAAATGTAAGTACATTGGCAGCGATAATAATAATAATAATAATAATAATTCATAAAATTCGTTTTCATCCACTAACCAAAAAATCCTTTTCGCCGAAATTTGTAATCGTTTGAAAATGTGACATTTATTGAAATCGCCTTTCATAAACTAATGTAGACTGCTAAATTTTCACAGTAAAACTATCAAATCCGAGGCATTTCACTCACATATGAGATTCATTTCAATACATCGAAGTAAAAACCTGGATATGTCTTTTTGCGGCAATGCGGATTCCTAACATCTTGCAACGTCCGATTCAACGCGATTTTATCGCTGACAACCAAATTGAACTGAAAAATTCACAATTCCTTTTCTCAGTCAAAATGTCGACGGTTGCATCTCATGCATCCCGATTACTATTACCGTCTAGCTGATTGTGAGGAAATTGAATGTACACTAAATTTATCAATGCAGTTGTCTGGATGTGTGTTTTTTGAATGAATGTTCTACTTCTATTCAAACATGAAAAGTGAACATGATGGCTAGTTGATATACTTTTCATGCAATTCAAATAACAACCACGCAATCTGACACAATAATTCGACGACTTATAGATGAACGTACGAATATAGAATTTGTTAGTGAACTTGCGAGGATATCGTGCGGTGATAATTTTTCTGCTTACCTGATTGATACCGAAAGTGTCATCTGCCAAACGGTCTTCGTCATCATTCAAGTTTACAGGACGTCCACCATCTCCAACTCCAGCAATCGGTGCGAAGTTGTTTGCATTCAACTGTTCTGCAAAGCACCTGATCAATCGCTAAATCATGCATTCACATACCTCTCCAATCCATTTCTAAATCATTGTGACAGATTTTGTTCCAAAGCATAAATTCAGTCCGAACATTGAGAAGGAACACGCCACAGAACTCACCAACGTTGTCAAACGCAAACTTACGACAGGTGATATTACATTTCGACATTGTTTTGGTGAACTAAGGATGACTGTGAAAGAAACGAAATATGAACCTTCAGTTAAATTAGCACGCTTTTCAGCGGGTAGATTACCATTATAATGACCGACGACCACCTGAACACCCCTACGTGTATAGGAAGTTGGCTCGACGAAATTCTCTCCAGATTGATCGAAAAGCTGAAAGGTTTAAAAGCACAATTGGATCGTATCAAGTATTTTCAAAATCAAATTGAGAAAGTATTACATTAGTGAAGTCGACTTGAACTATCTGTTGAAATTTTACGCATAAAATAGCTTCAAGTTCGTGTTCACTGCAAAATAATGAGATCAAAACAATGATCGAACCTTCTCTTGTGCAGTGAGAATGAGCACCGTTAGAAAGAACCAGCAGGCGAGGAAGGCGATGACGAAGAGAAGCACGAGGAATGCTTTGCGAATGCGTCGTCTTCGATAGCCTATCAGTGCGTCGAATTGCATCACATTCAACTTGGATGCATTCCGAAGGAGCAGTGAAACATATGAGAGGACTGAAACAGAGGCTGAATGCTCTGCCAACAACCCCTTATACTCTCTGCGATCCAGATTGCTGATTTCAATTTTTTGAGGAATACAATTCACTGAATAATACCAGACGTCATTTCTGCTGACGCCAACAATTTGAAACCTATAAACTGACTGGTAACGTCTCTTCCAGAGGTGATGCTTGCAATGAATCAATGTCTTACGGAGTCAAGTAGAAAGAGAATGAGCACTACAGTGAGGGTGCAATGAAGGTACAGATGGTCTTTTTGTAACCTTTATGTATGTGTACTACAACTAATATGAGTGGCTTTTGGCCACAAATACCCATCGAATACAGAAGTCGCCGAAAACTACGCAGGTTCAGCGCATAACATAGTTAAAAGAAAACCAGATTTATCTATCAACAGCAATGCACTATGACAACATTTCAATAGTTGACTTCTTACGCGGACAATGAGTGATTGATTGCTTTACCGATCATTCTAGACATTTGGAAAAGGTTTATTGTTGTCACGAATATTTTCTGGATTGCTGCTCGGTGATATTCAATCATATAGAACAATTGTGGCAACGGTCATTCAACTACTGCTTGGCTGTGGAATGGTTATTATAGGCCGATCGTCTTGAGTCTATTCGGTTACATCTATCAAAATCGTTTTTGTTACTGATTCAGAACAATTGCCAATCTAATGCTGTCGATTGTTTTCAACAGCTACTCCGAGTGATCATTTTACGCATATTCCTCTGATAAATCGAAGTGTGTTTTTGGGATTATTTCCAGCCCCTGCACCTTAAAATCATTGATCAATGCAGGAGAATAGCCCTACACTTCTGCTGCCATGTCAGTGATAGAAGTTATAACTTAATGAAGACGGACGATTTCCTACACCACCATCGGAAGTAAGGATGAAAAGTGATAATGGTGATAAAAGAGAGGCATAAAATCATGATGAGCTGCAATTGCGGATTAAATAAACATCGTGACAGCGTGATAGAAAGTATACGATAGAAGTGTAGATAATGCGACGATGACCATCAAATTGGCGCACAACGCAAATGTTGTATTTGCGAATATGAATGGTTGATATCGGATGGCGCTGGGGGATAAAATGCAGGATTGCTGAAGGAATTCATTCATCAATACCTTCAAGACTGATTTGATAGTAAAATGTGAATAACAATGAACCGGTTTATCTTCTGTTCAAGATATTACAAGCACATTACAGTGATTTATTCGATTATTATACTTGATCAATACGAATTCAGATAATAGGTCGGATTTCAGTTACAATATATGCGAGTAGATCTTTTTCCAACATCTGGACGACGGTTTCAAACAAACTGCCTAACGTTTAGCCCTCATCAATGTTTTTTTTTGTTAAGATTCATCAGAAGCACCTAATAAAGTGGTCACCACTGTGCACAAGATGATAGAGACAATAATCGATGATCAAAGATCAATCGTTTCTTTTGACAATTAACACGAAATCAACGACAAAAGCATTCGTTTGTTAGAGAGCATCAAAACTAAACTTTGGAAGTGAAAATTCTTAAACTGCGTTTACTAATTGATAATGATTGGTTCTGCGGTTTGCTTCAGTACATTGAAATCGAAGGTCATTTCGAAATCTCTTCCAATCTTTCAATTCAAATGTACTTTACTCAACCTTAACTGCTTCTTTAAATAGCAATACTAAGTTCAATGATGCTGTGGCCGTTCTATAATTGAATGATATGAAGATGAAAATGAACTTGGATGGCAGTATGATCTGATGTGATGAAGTGAAAAAATAAACTCAACGCATCGCCAACTGCGCTCCTACACAGTCGAAAATGCACATGAACGTCCTTGGGCAAGACAATGTGACCCTCGTCATTCTGTGCAACACGCACTCATACGAAATGTACGTTACCAAACACACAAACGCATCAATAACTAAATTACAACGCACTTCTAAAAGAGGACATAGAGGTATACGTATAATTCAGCATCGATTCATCTTAACTGAGGAGGATTTATGGAATACTATCGCGAAACGATGACGCCGTGCTTATTTCACCAACAATCGCAATCAAGAACTAATATTTATCAAGACATTTAATTGATTTGAAAAGCGCAGTTAATGGCTATTTCGATGACATTCAACTATTTCGATTGGCCCATTGGAAGAAGTGCTGGTTTATTTATTGTTTGTTCAAAACCGCGCTAGAAACCGTTCCATCAAGTAAAAAAACTCATTAAAAAAGTGAAAGAGATATGGGATTGCTTTCCTGTTGGCTATGATAGCATTTGTTATGCAAAACATTTCACACATGTTGGGTGTGAGAAGAATGTATAGAATAAACTTTTAAAAAATTTTTTTCGTACGATGCATTGTGTCTTTCTAATGGATGGATTTCATAAGCATACAAGCACTACCAAAATAAAAATGGAAATAACACCGAAATCCTCATTCAACAGATGCTCATCAACAGTCCGAGAAATTGTTTTCCCTAAATGAAACTTTCGTCTGACTGTCATAACTGGCACTCCTTCTAAGAAAGAACGAATTACACACTCTTAAAATGACGATCATGAACTAATGGGATGTGCGAGAAGGAGCGATTGATCGAATGAATGGTATACGTGCTGAATAATGGTGTCGCTCATTTGTTTTGCGATCCGTTTTGTTGACCTTAATTATCGCTTATCTGCCTATTATCTGCACGTTGCGTTCTGAATCCTTAATGCAGTTCGATTAATACAATCAATTTGAATGGAACATATTGAATTGCTACAGAATGAAGCATAAACATCAACACTA